AGCTGCCCCCAGCCACAGCAGGGTAGAATCCCAGCCTGCCCCTCAGGCAGCAGGAAGGCAGGGCTGCCCACGCAGATCCCCCGATGGCAGCCAGTGCTTCCCTTGGGACCGGAGCTGCCTTGTCCCTGCCTGCAGCTCGCCTGTCTTTGGGAGAGGTGAGGAGGAGGAGGGCTTTGCCTGCGATGCTTCGCTGCAGGCGCAGTACGAACTGCAGTGCTGCCATCGCAGTTGTTTCTCAGTGCAGACATCTCAAACCTCTGGGAGCTTCATCCCCCAGGCTGGTGCTCGGGGCTTGCTTATTCCCCTCTTGCGAGCTGCCTTGTCCCTGCCTGCAGCTCGCCTGTCTTTGGGAGAGGTGAGGAGGAGGAGGGCTTTGCCTGCGATGCTTCGCTGCAGGCGCAGTACGAACTGCAGTGCTGCCATCGCAGTTGTTTCTCAGTGCAGACATCTCAAACCTCTGGGAGCTTCATCCCCCAGGCTGGTGCTCGGGGCTTGCTTATTCCCCTCTTGCTGTATGAGAGGTTCAGAAAAGCCACTCGGACAGCCCGCTGTTTGCCACCGGCGCGTGGCCGCAGCCTGCATTAGCCTGTGGTGGGTCAATGAGCACAGTGTCCCCAGGGCAGCTGTCCCCTCCCCAACAGCCGGCGTGTCCCTGGCTGCGTGTCCAGCAGCCGTGGTTGCTTCAGCCCTGCAGGCAGGGAGAAGCCCTATAATGTCCCTCCTTCCTGGGTTGTGTGGGGTTCATCCCCACATAAATGCCGGTTCAGTGCTTCCTCCATCGGTCTCAGCGTGTCTGCTGCTGCAGGCACCAAGCGAGGCTGCAGCCGCTTGGATGCAAGCCCAGGAACCAGGGGCTAAGGGAAGTGACCCTCTCAGTGGTGTGCCTGTGTTTTTGAGACTGCCAGCCCTCCGGTGCAAGCGAGGGATTCCCTGTAGGGCCTCTCCAGCAGCCAACGCAGACCTGATCCCATTCCCAGCCTGGCTTTGCATCACTTTTCCCTGTCTTTGTCCCAGGGCTGCTGTCTGCACCGAGCTCTTGCACCGTGAGCAGCGCTTACCTGACATTGCTGTAAGCATGCCTGTGCCCCGGGGGGAGGATGGGGGTTGCCCCATGGAGCATGGAAACAGCTCTGCTTGGCTGGAGTTGGATCCTGCCTTACATGCAGGAGCCATCGGTGTTTTCTGGTGCATGCAGCACTCGCCAAGGCACCCCTCTGCAGCCGGGGTCGGCTGAGGACGGGCTTGCTGGAGGCAGCAAGGAGCCCCGCCATCCCTGGAGGATGTTGAGCAAATGTGGCCTCACCTCGCAGCGCCTTTGCAGCTCCGCTGCTTGCACCACATTTATTTATTTTGAGCTTCAGGCAGCTATCGTGTGTGCACTGCAAGGGCTTTTCTAATGCACCACGGGAGCAGAGGATCCTGTGCATGAGGGAGAAGCGTCAGCTCTGTTTGCTGAGGTTTATGCCAAATCCAGGATAGGCTCACCCCAGATTAGAGACCACCTCAGCCCCATGGGATCTGCCCCAAAGTTGTGCTGTCTCTCTTAGCCTGCAGACAGACCCTGCTGAGCAGGGCCAGCCTGGGAGTGAGAAATGTTTGATCTCACTTGAATCTGCATTTCTTAAGTTCCTGGGTGACACTCATCTGCCCTTGGGATGAGCTAGCTGGCCTCAGTGACATTTGGAGTCATAGAGGTGTCGTTGCATGAGCCACGTATCCGTCTGATGACAGAGATTAAGCTTTTGCCTTGATGAAAAGTGGCATGCCCAAGGCGGGGATGTGGCAGGGTGGCAGAGGTGTCTGGGACCTGCTGGTGCTGCCCCTGCAGCCGGGGAGCCCTGGCATGCGTAACCCTGGAGCCATGAGACCCTTGCTGTGCAAGCAAACCCTTTAGCCTGGAGAAAGTTTTGCTTTTAAACCCAGAGACATCCCCAGCATGTGGGAGCTGTGGGTTCCTGTCTCAGCTGGTAGAGGTGAAGTTCCAAAGTGAGTCCTTATGGGGCGTTCAGAGAGTGCCTGCCCTGCTTCCTTGCAAGGGGAGCAGCCTGGCTGGCTGGAAGCCTGCATCCTGGAGGGACTGTTTCCTAAAGCTGGTTGGTTCAGGGCAGCCTCTGTTCCCTGCAGCGGCTCAGGTAGGGAGGAGCTTGCCTTGTGCAGAAGAGCATCCTCCAAGGTGTCCCTGCGCCTGGTTTCAGTCGTGGGGAAGGACCAGGGAGCTCCCTGCTGGGGCCAGCGTCAGAAAAGTCTCTGCCCAGTTGCAAGCCAACAACTTCCTCAGGAGCAAGCAGGGGAGGTTTCTCTGGGCAGCTGTTTCTTTACCTCAGAGCACTTTTTCAGGGACATTTAAGTGGCTCAGTATGGGCTCGTGTCTCAAAACGCACAGCAAAGCTGTGGGTGAGCAGTGCAGAAAGGACCTGGGGGTGGAGGGGGCAGCTAGCAGCAACGTGTCTTCCTGCGGCAGGGAGCAGAGCTGGTCCGGGGGCGGTTTTATCAGCGGTCTTTGCTTTGCACGTGCGTGGAAAAGAATATAACAAAGTCTGCTTTCCCCTTTTCCTGCCCTTTTTCATTCCTGATCTTTCTTCAGACCTTCAGATTTCTTCATCCACCAGGATGATTAAAAAAGGAAGATTAAAAGGAAGTTGCCACACACAGAGCTTTCTGTCGTTGGCTCCATTAGGATGTGCTGGCCAAAACCTCAGTCTGTTCAGTCTGGCAAGATGTTCCCAGGCTTCAGAAATGATGCTGTTCATCACTGGAGTCAGCCCCAGACCTCCTGATAATTATTGGTGACAGGGGAGCCGGTCAGGGTTAAGAAACCCCGTCTTTCTCCTGGGCCGCAGGCAGAAGCTTCATGGTTGGGAACCGGTGTTGAGATCCTGAATTGGAGCAGCTCTCCAGCTGTGCTCTGCAACAGAATTAGTTACAGATTAATTAATTCATTAATTATTAATTACAGTGTGTGTGCACGTCAGGGTGTCACAGGAAGGATTGTTGTGAAGGGTGGTTACAAAGTGCAGGACAAGAGTTGCTCCTCGGTGCAGACGGTTGAAGTGTCAGCGGTGATGTACAAAGTGCTCCCATTATGGAGTGGTTTTATGCTTAATGTTCTTTCATTTAAAGGGTCTGAAAAATTAAACGCTTTCCATCACAAGGGTGTGGTGAAGCCCTTTCTACTTCGTCTCCCTCTGTGTTCTCCAAAAGATGTTTGTTGTGAGTGCTGGTCTTGCTGAGGCGGCAGTGGCTGGGCCAAGAGCTTTGCACCTTGGAGGCGAGAAAGGGTTTTAATCGTTTGCAAAGGGGAATTTCCCCAGAGCAGCCTTCGCAGCCTTGGCAGCAGGGGCTTCTCCACAGCTCCCCGGGCTCCGGGAGGCAGTTTTCCCATGGTGGCAGTGCTGGGTGCCGCCTGGCTTGCCGTTCAGGTGGCTGCTCTCCCTGCTGCCTCACTAAACCCTGTTGTATTTTCTCTTGCAGATTTTCCGACGAGCCGACAAGAACGGTGAGTGTGTTGTTCCTGCTGCTGCTTCCTCCCCCCTTCCTGGG